ACACACACACACACACACACACACACACACACACACACACACACACACACACACACACACACACACACAGAAAACAATTATGATAAACTCTTCAATGCACCCTTGAGTGTGTGGCACATAGTAAAAAGTGAATGCAGAACAAAGTGCACATAGTTTTGGACATTGCACCGAACTGAATATTTCTTTTTAAAGCAAGCTTCACCTGGCAAAGTAGTCAAACTTGTCAACATCAATGCCGGTTTCCTTGTTTGACACAATTTCATAGAGAAAGGATTTTTCCTTCTCTCGACCTGGATACTGCTGTGGAGATAAAGCCATTAGAGAAACATTAGATACTGACTTCTTCAGCAAAGATGATACTGAATTCACATAACTGACTAGTACCTTGTGCTGAGCTGTTTTTTTCTGAGTGTCATCAATCATTCCTTTAATGAACACCAGGTCGTTTTCCTTTTTGTCTTTTATTTCCAGCCCATACTGCTCCATCACTGGCTTCAGGCCATTTTCCTCCAGTAAGTAATCAAACATCTTTATGGAGGCTTCCTCATGCTGCAAGAATACGCAGACATGCATTTTAGTAGTGACAGGTTGAAAGTGAAAAAACAAACAAACAAAAAACCCCAAGCAGATTAAAATTATTTTAATGCATATTTCAAAAATAACAGTCACAATATGCTTTACAAAGCCAGGTTACAACAATATACAATGTATAACAACTGAATTAAAAGTAATACAACATGAAAGGTAAGAAAGAGTTAAAAAGCAGTAGTGTCATGAAGCGCTCTGTGGCAGGCAGGAGTTGGACCCAAAATGCAGGACTCAGACACAAAGGATGAACTTAAAACCACAGCTTTAATTGCTGGCACGGGAAAACGAGTATACAATGCAAACTAAACTGGGAAATAACAAACTAAGACACAGGGAGCTCCACACAGCATGAGGGACGACGCAACACTGACTCAGAGAAACACAGGGTTTAAATACACTGGGAAGTACCGAGGGGGATGAGAAACAGAAAGAGGGCACAGCTGGGAGAAATCAGAACTGACGAGACAAGGAAGCAAAGTAGGATACACTGACATGAGACACAGACCTTCAAAGTAAAACAGGAAGTAGCACAGACGCAGACTTGACTAGCACTTACATCACCACGGACTGCCATTTGGCTTTTTCTACCTTTAAAACCCGGAGAGCAGCCAAATGGCTTTTAGCTAGGCTAAATTGTCTAGTCATTCATATGTAAATTGGGT